AAGATTTCTTAAACTAATTTTCTGCAATTTTTTTTAATTATCGAGAATTTTCTGTTTAATATCTTGACCATTTAAACATAAAAGTAAGTAATTATCAAACGAAGGTACTGAGTCAGTATGGGTATATAGCTCCCGTAGAAGCTACAGGAGAAAGAAAGGCAATTACAGTATACAGTACTAGTAAAGTTGGTGATAGAGCAGAAAGACGCAAACTTGGATACATTAAAACAAATTAGTACTGTATATCTAATAAAGGAGTACGTGTATATCTAATAAAGGAGTACGTGTATATCTAATTACAGCTGATATTAGGGAATCACTGGGAAAATTTACTTTCATCCTGAAAATCTGGACATTGAACAAGAAATGGTCTACGTGTGAGTGGAACAGGACTATATGGGTAGGTTCTTTCAATTAAATTACTATTAGTCAAAATATTATGGCCAATATGCAAGCGAGTTACCAAGTTTCACATAAACAACTGTAATATTTATAACTCTTAGAGAATAAATGCGAAGGTTAAAACATCATTTTAATCTGTGTATACTTTGTGAATACTGTAACAGATCTTTAATGAAGGCAGCTCAGGTATGCATCGTCACAACAACTCTTATAAAATTTTATACACTAGAATGTATACGAATTAATCGTTTGACAGTTTGCTAAGTTACTCGCCTTCCCCTCCCCCCCTCACCACTTCCTTATTGTGCTTGTGACATCACCAAACTTCCTGGTACACACTTCCTTGATCATTATGAATGTGAGAAGGGCACTCAGAGTGAGGCGCAACTGTGACGTATGGTGGTTACGCTCTTGCTGTTTTAAACTGTAGTAATGTATATATTATACTCGCTAGGGCAGCTATACTCTGCGGACAAGCGATGTTGATGTAACAATGACTCCTCGTCCTCCGTTGATTTAACGTTACTCTAGCATGATTTTCCCGCTAGGTATGGATGCCATGTGCAATTTAACTGCCGATATAATATGTTACTGCCGTCATATCTAGTGGCTTCAAATAATACATTTTAATTTCATTACATAGAATTTGGATAGAGATTGCGAGAGTTGTGTATTTTAAGCGTTTATTTAGTTGTAATTAAATCTGCGAAAGTTGTGGCATCACAGATTATATAATAATTTTGCCGCCAGACGTGCTCAGAATGTTGAACTAGATTTGTTGCTGCTAGGCCACTTGATGTTTGGATGTTCCCAGGCTCTCAGAGCCAGGATGTATTGGGAGTTGTAGTTTGATTGCCATTATTAGAAGGATGTGGACATCCTTCACACGGGTGCTGCCTGACAGTGGGGGGTCTGCCAGTGGTACGTCCGTGTTTACCGTTAGTCTTTATATGCAGACAAACTTCAAATGTTAAGTTTGAAGTTTGTACTTCCGAGATATCAAGTACTAACTGTACTTGATATCTCGGAAGTGCTGCTATAGTATTTTTTTTATCATGTATTATTTGAAGTTAACGATATTAGTGGTATTATTGCGTTATGTAATTTATTTAGTGTAATGCAGTTATAATTTATTGCATTTGACACATATATTGTGTATAGTAAGTCAGATGTATATCTAATAAATCCAGCCATAAACATGGATATGTTTTAAAAATAGTAGTAATAATTTTGAAAATATTTAGTGTATGTGATAAAGGAACCCATCCTCCTGTTTAGGTAGGTATTATTGTGATAGGTACTACTTAGCCTTTAGATAGTATAACGACTAGTAGGGAATTCTTTTAATATAAATGAAGCTAAAAAAAAAAACTTAAATATTCCTAGGCCTAGTAAAGCACACATGTGTACTATATATCAGGCCTAGGAAGGTTAGGTTAGGTTAGTTTGTCAAAGCAACACACGTAAAAATAGTTTTCCGCTTTGTCCAACTCAATAGTTCAGATTTCTACTTTCGCTGTACGTCGGTATATATACTATGGTCCTCCTCGTTACTAATAAGTAATACCAAAACTTGGGGATGGGCTGGATAAAGGTATATAGAAGTAGGAGGGGGGGCTATTCTTGTCACTTGAGTCAGAGCGGTTCCCCATCATTGGGGTGCTGGGCTGACGCGTTGGATAAAAGGGGTGAGGAGGATAACGGTGCGCGCCCCACTTTTTGAGAGCGAGAGTGAGTCTAGCCCTGCTGACGCTGACTTGTACCAGTTTACAAGGTCACAGAGTACATTAAGTTTTCGCGTGCTACTCTCTCCCCCTCCCTTCCCTATCTTCCCCTTCCCTCCTCTCCCCTCCCACTCCAAATGTCTCATTCCTCTCCTCTTTCTTCCCACCTTTCCCCCCCTCCTTCTCTTTAAAAACATAAGAACAAGGTAACTGCAGAAGACCTGCAGTTATTCTCCTTCCTTTTCCACTTTCCATCCTTTTGTTACAAAAGCCTTGGGGAACGGAATGCGAAATGGAGACCAACGAGAAAGGGGGGGGGACTTGGGGGAGCCGGGGAGGTGCGAGTGTGCAATAAATTAGAGATAACCTAAGTTTCAGTTTAGTTCGTAGCGAAGCAAGTTACTGCACTGATAAGATAGTTATAGTTTAACATATCTGTACATAAATAAAAAATTGCTTCATAACTCATCAAACTAACATCACAACCTTAGGCTAACCTCAAGAGGTCATAACACAAAGAGTAAGAGTTTGTTTAATATATATGCACCACAAACCCATCCAGTGGGCGGCAATGGAAAAGTTACAATCACCTGCATGCACCCAAGGAGAGAGGAATATCACGCCGTGAAATAAACAGTAAACATGCTCAAGGATGATCCGAGGTTCCAGCATTGGACAACCATGGTAGCTGGAAACTTTTTTTTGCCATGCGGAAGTGGGTGCATGTGAATTAAATGTAGATATATGATCAGTACAGATATGGACAACTTGTATACATACTGTGTTGGATTTAGTTGAAGCCGCTGATTGACATAAATAAGCGTTGATGCTTTTGGCTTGCCTTAGGTTGAGGTCGAGGTCGTTGTCCTCTCAAGTATCGATCGTCTGCTTAGCTTGCCTGAACTGTCTCGCTCTTTCTCCCTTTCCTTGCCCTTTCTCCTTCCCTTTCCTCCATCTTCAACCGTACAGTTACATCCCTCCTTCATTACACAGGTGTATTCATTGTGACAGTGGGTTACATCCCCCACTGTTACAGGTTTTACCCCTTTCTCCTATCTTCAGTTGATAAGATGCCTACCGATTTTTGGCAAGTGCGCTGTTTTTTGTTCAAACACTGTTTCTTTTGTTTGTTTGTGTTCATTTGATTCCTTGATTGCTCTTTTGTGTTCTGTGGCAATGTGGAAATTCACTTTTACTAGTTTTACCCTTATCCTCTCAGTTTTCCCATCCTCTACATTATGATGTTCCCCTCTTCATCCTAATTAATGTTACCCCCTCTTGCTCCTAATGCCCCCCCCTCCCTTCTAATGTTTCCCCTTGTCCCTCCTAATGTTCTACTTTCTTATATTCCCCTACCTACTAATCCTTCTAATAGCACTTTGTCATTCATCACCTAATGGTCACTTCCCTTTTATTCATTATCTAATGGTCACTTCCACCCATTCATCATCTAATGGTCACTTTTCCCTATTCATCATGTAATGCTTGATTTTTCCTGTTCAACATCTAATGCTCACTCTCCCCATTTATCATCTTATGATCATGTTTCACCCTTAAAATGGGAACCATTCCTATCTTCCTAATGGAAAACTCTCAATGAAGATGCTTCTTCCCTTCATATCATCTCGCTCTTTTCATATGTGGTATGGCTGAAGTATACTTGGGTCCCCATAGTTCACAAGGGTAATTTTAGTTTCACTGGTATGTAATATGAAGGTCCGGCCATGCTTGCTTAACCCACATGCATGACCTTTGTACCAAACTAATAATTACCCCATACCCTTGACTCGGGTAGCCAGAAATACACTGGTGCCTGTCAATATATTAATCAGATAGATATTATCTTCTGAAGTTGTTACAAGTACTGGTACTTGTATTATCTAGTGAAAGAAAGCCAATTTTTAGAACCTAAAGAGACTTTGTGTCTTTTGCTGATCGTTCGAAGCTGTTATAAATTGGAGTAATATTTATTTTTCAGTGTTGTTTAAAGCTATGTTGTAAGACTTTAGAACATGGTGTAGATAAGATAAAATCATCCATGTAATATATCTGCTCTTCAGGGAAGAATAGCATGTTGTTTAAGATAACCTCATATTTTTATGTGCTAGGCTTCCCAGTAAAACTCCCTTGTGAAAATGATATAAAATGTTTACAACAAATGCTCAGCACTCATCACAACAAAGCAACAGAAATAGTGATGCAGCATACTCATGTGAAGTTATCAAGCATATGGTTTGTCTAGCTAATTTATTTACCAACGGTAGTAGTGTAAATATCCAGAATACTGTACCTGAAAGGAAAGTACAGGTAGTGAATGATTAAGCTTTCATTGCTATTTGGATTTTATCAAATTTTGCCAAAGATATGATGAAACTTTAATTGCTACACTTGTAAGAAATTATGTACTGTACCTTAATTATTCCTGGTATAATGATTCTTTTTGCATCATTATTTTTCTTGCATTTCTATGCAATATTTTGAGATCTTTTCTTCATATTGATTTGAAGTTATAGCATCATGGTAAAATGAAGGTTTCTATTGAAAGAGGGCACTGTAGAACCCGGGGGGGGGGGGAGCATTTTAAGAATATCTTTATATGGAACAGTATGAAATAATGAGTTGTAAAATAATTTTACAACTCGACACTATTAGTGTATTTTGGGATGTTATACTATACATTCTGGACATGATAGATTAGACCACACTAGGTTCATTTTGGTTAGGAAAAAAGTTAGGTGTGGTTATGCTTTTAAGTTTGAAGAACTGACTGAGTCAAAAACATTTCTCCTGGTTTTTAATGTGCCATATAATGTATCAGACTGTAATTTAACATTACCCTGATCTTCCATCTTATACAGAATTTTTAATTGACAGGTGAAAATGCTACCAACAGTGATTCATTCTTGTTCCTACGCAAGGAGTTGCCAGTGCGACTTGCAAACATAATGAAGGAATTCCATTTGTTGCCGGAGAAGCTCCTTCACATGCCATCTGTGTGTATCGTGCGAGACCTTTATCGTATGAGTTTTATGGACCTTCTTGAGTTTGAGAATGGCAGTTGCTCCAACTCTTCTATTCTTGACAGGCAAGTATAGTACGATATTTCCAAGCATTTTGTTAATATGCTGTAGTGTACTGTATGTATGTAATCAATTTATTAGCAATAATTGATGAATACTGTATGAAATTTTCACAAACAATAATATAACTGCAATAACAATATTTGTTTTTGTAAAGGATTAATGCTGAAGCCTATCTTTACTAAAGGTTTAGTCTTGTCTATTTACCTACACCTAGCTCACACACTTCTCATATACAGTATGTTCTATAGTGTCTTTCCGATTACTTTTTCATTGATTGTTTTAGCACATTTATCATGTTTTGATAAGCATTAAAGCTTATTTTTAATAAAAAAAATTTAATTTCACACCCACTGCAGCTATTACCACAACCATTACAACCACCACCCTCAGACTTGGTACATTCACAGCACAGTGTTCATTACATCAACTTGTATTCTCTCTGTACTCAATATAGAATGTTGTTGTCCTTTTTATCTCCACCTTGCATTCATTACACCACCCTCTTGATATCCTGAGATATTCCTGCCTGAAGTTAACTTTCTCGGTTGCCTTTATGCAATAAAACCTGCCTACTTCTTTCATTACTATACTTCATTCCTCAATTTGTCTTAGTTGAGGAGCTGTACAGCTAGTGGGTACATTTAATAAATATTTTGTGCTTAAAAGTGAGTTATGTACACAAAATGGTTTTCCTGTAAATATAATTGCTATATCACAAATTAGTATGAATTAGCAGAAGACATCTTTTGTTATATTACTGAACTAAAAATATTGATGACTTATAATGTGTAATACTAGGAGTCTACAAATTATTCACCCCATTATAAGCCTTAATATATTAATTATTCTGGTTTACTGATGTATTTCCTGAGCTGTAGTATTGTACTTAAATTAAAACAAAAATGTCTTATTCAGTATTATTAAATACGGCAACATTTTAAGATGGCTCCTATATGAATATACAAAGACTTATAGTTTTGTGAATAATTTGTTAACACTGTACATCCACAGATATAACTGTGATTTATATCTTTTCTACAGTACAGTTCTGTATACAGTAATAACTTTTAAATATTATTTTTTTGGAATATGTTTCATTTTGTATGAAGCTGAACTTGATCACCCATTTTGAAGATGAAAATGTAGCTTATAATAAGCAATTTTTTTTTCCACAGGTTCACCGACACATTATTAAAAATTCGTAATCGCCACACTGATGTGGTAATGACAATGGCTCAGGGAGTGTTAGAGCTGAAGGATGCTCACTCTATTAATGCCAACACAGAGGCCAACATCCAGTATTTCCTCGACAGATTTTACATGAATCGCATCTCCATCAGGATGCTTATCAACCAGCACAGTAAGTTTTGACTTATGTTACACCTGCTTAATTACGTAATATTTAAATAACAATTAAATAGATCTCTTTAAAATAGTATATAATTACTAGGTACAGCATATCAAATTAGAGCTTATTCCAAAGTGGTTCATGTTCATTGCAACAGCTTTCCACTAAGCTAACTAAAGGCATTCACAAGTTATATGGAATTACAGTATAGTGTAGTTTTATTCCATTATTACAGATTTGACACATGAAGTGGAGAGGCATCACCCCAGAGTAGATAAAATAGCAGTACAGTATTTAGAAAGTTGGTAAATGTTAAAAAATAACACAGGACCATTTACCATTTACAAATTACTCGTAGCAGCACCCTATTGCTGCATAAGACTAGGTGTATAATGTTCTTCACGAGTTATATGCAGAGATATCATTTATTATGTTTCCACAAACTGTAGCTAGCTATGCTCCATCTCAACATCTGCACAGATCGTACTCGTTCCTCATTCACTTTAATGGACTCTCTTCACCAGTCTATCTTGTACATGGCCAAACCATCTTCATATGCTTTTCAGTCTTAGTTATTAAATTTGTATTAATTTCTCTTCTCCAAACACCTTGCAGCTTCTTAGATTGTCCATTTCCACTGCTTTATTTCTTTATTTTCGTACTCCTGACACACCAATATCTCTTTCATACATAATAGTTTCACTATTCATAGCAAAATATAATTTTCTTGGCACGAACAACACATGCACAACACACCTACTCTATAACAATTTAGTTTTCTGTTTTAATTACAGAACCAGCAAACATTCACTAATGCCAACTTTCTGCATATTTTTAATATAATAATTTTTTGTCAATACAGTACAGTACTATATCTCAGACTTGTCCAAAATGTTGTTTGATGTATTGTTGTATGCTTATAAAAGTTTTCAGATAGTGGAACAGTGGAATAGTGTTTTCACTTCTGTTTAATATACTGTACATTTTGTGCTTTGGGTTAGTATTGTACGTGTATCTCGGTATTTCTTTAGATTAAATTAAAAAGATGGTAGAGTAATATGTTCTTAGTCAAATGTCGATACCCATACAATCTTATACATATGCAATCATGAAACATTCTTTTTATTTCAGCCATACTCTTTGGTGAAGGTGTCAATGCTCAGAATCATATAGGATGTATAGATCCTCACTGTGATGTTGTTCGTGTGATAGAAGATGCATATGCCAATGCCCGCTTTCTTTGTGACCAGTATTATCTTGCATCCCCAGAACTTGTACTAAGATATCATAATGGTAAGTGTAGTAGTTTACTATAAAAACTTAGTACTGTATAGAATAAAATTTGATGACGGATAATTTTGTAACCATATACAGGTGGTTGCAAAATGGTTTTGTACAAATGAGGCAAATCAAATTAGAGCAGAAGAAATGGATGATCTTTAAAGTATGTAGTGTTAGGAGTACAAAGTAAGGAATGAAAATATGGATGATGTAGAATGCAAAAGCCATAAATTTCAAGGCTGAGAAAAGTGTACCGAGACAATTTGGCAAGTCAAATTAATGCATGATACTGTAGTAGATTGGTGAAGTGTTTGCAGACAGCCTAAAGCTCCTGCAAATGTTTCTTGTTGAATGTATGGAAAATTGAACCCTCTTAACTTTTGCTTTTGTTTATACAGTATTTCCATGACTGGCCAAGCTGGAGTTTTTGAGAGTTCATTTTCATTTTTTTTTTTTTAAGTAAATAAGTGTTGATTCCAAATAATACTTATACCGTATATTAAAATTTGCAAAGTGACGCTAAAATTTTTATTATTTTACTAACAATTAATACAAACTAAATTACATTTATCTAGATACATAGTTCTGATTAATTTTTCTTTACTTTAACCAGTGATAAGTAGATATGAATTAAGGAATCCATCTAAATAATACTTAATCATTGAAAATTTCATAATTATTCAATAAATTATTTTCATTAAAGACTGATCTTTTCAAAGTTTATCTGTTGTTATATCACTTGGTTTGTGGTCTTTAGCGACACTAATGGTAGAATGATTTGCTCACTTGCACCCACAGAAAAGGACAAGGCGACAAAAACTATAAAAGAAGCTGGAGCTCCAGGTACTGTATCTGCTTAAACTTGTTTACCTGTTTTGTATACATTTTTGTGAGCTTAAGCCAGCTCCTTGCTATAGATAAGCAGAGAGCACAACTGAATCTGCATTTTTATAATTGGTGCATTTGATTGGGACTATGTGCATTTTTATGTTAAAATATAATAATCTATTTGTGCCCAATAGGGATAAAATTTAATTAACTGGTGTGTATAGCAGTCAAACTTGAGTTAGTATGGCAGTTAAATGGACCAGTGAATGATTGTGTTAGTGCTTTTCTTTAAGAATTTTATTAATGAAATGCTATGCATGCTAGTGGTTTTGCAAGAATGTAAGGACACCCATGTTATGTACTCTCACAACCCAATGTACCCTCTTGTATATAAACAATGTAATTAATGTATAGGAACAGATTCCTGAAAATAAGTTGCAAGTTGCGGTTGTTGCTTTGATCATTTATATTTATATCCCCAATTACTTTACATAGGCATTCCCTACTTTTGGCTTCACTTAATGAATCTTCATGTCTGTGTGTGGGGTCAAATATATTAATGTCAGGGTGGCTGATTATTTTAACAAATTTATTAGAAAAAATTTGACAAAAACAAATTATTAAATTTTGTAGTATGTAGTTTACAGGTTCCGATAAAATTTGTTCTGAAAGCGCCGTTCTTCCTTTCTTGGTTATAGATCAAGGAAGGGCACTTCTCTCTATTAAATAAAATTTTGAATGCAAGTACTGTATAGTATTACAGTACATATTTTTAACTGTTGAATTTTAAAGATTACTATATTTAACTTTTCTCATTTCGATACAATTCTACCATTGTATGTGTTCACAAGTAATACTGTTTGGCAAGCTGATGTGCAAATCATTTTATCACTAAAGTTTTGTACATTATTTATGACTATATATGTCCATGCCCAAAGGAATATTACTGATAAGTTTAAATATTAATAAAATGCATAAAACATTAACCAAAACCAATAATAGCTCAAAACCTATACTGTACACAAAATTACCAAAACGGATGTTTCTAAGTCACAAGTCATAGTATGGCCTTCAAACCCCCTTTTTTTTGGGGTGGGGGATCTGATGCCTCCCAATGCCAATGCAGGAATATATTTCATAATATTGTTTGTATTGCATTAGATATGCACTGAATAGGGACCAGGAATATCTTTGTTTTGGTATGAACAAAACTGGTCTTGTATTTTGCTACCTCTGGGTTAATCACTCTAAAATGCAGAGCCAAGTACAGTGGTACCTCAGTTTGCGTATTTAATCCGTTCCCAGAGACGGTATGAAAACCAATAATTTACAAATTTTTCCATAAGAAATAATGTAAATTGAATTAATTCATTACATACCCTCCAAATTTATTAACTAAAAAATACATTTTATACAGAATAATACTCTTGGGTACCTTACCTTTATTGTGGACTCTTGTTGGCATATGGAAGACAGTGATGCAGGGGGGAGGAGGAGAGGTGTTTGGAACGGGAGTTCCATCACATTATAACAGCAATGATGACATTTCTGGGTACTCTCTCTCTCTTATGTTTTACAGGCATACCACTAGGACCTAGTTGTGGCTCACTGCTTGCTTGTCTTACTAAGAATCTGTCTATAGACACTTGTTTTTCCCTACATTTTATCACTTGTCTGTAATGAGACATCACATTATCTCGCTATGAATGATCTCGTTTTTCCTCTATCGTCATCCTCACAACTATTTTCTTAGGTTGAACATTACCACTGACTTTCTTGGAACCCATGGCATTATATATAATAAGAACTTTTATGTTCACAAACAAAAAAAAAAGAACAAAAACACTGATTCTTCACAAAGAATTAAAGTGTGATCATCAATAGTCGGAAGACACTGGTAAACTGCAAGCGCCACGCGGTCAGTAGACCCATACGTGTATAAACAAATTCTGAAAACTGAGGCAAATGACAAGAACCAAATAAAAAAAATTTGAAGAAATTTAGTACGAGAACCGAAAAATACAAAAACGGCGGCATACGAAAACAGAGGTTCCACTGTACTTGGCTTAACAGAAAATAATGTGGAAGTTAATTAATAATACTGTAATAGTTTTGTTGACAGAAATTTACATAAATTTATCACAAATACTTTTAAATTTTTAATAGCCTGGGGCCAGATTCACGAAGCAGTTACGCAAGTACTTACGAACGTATACATCTTTCCTCAATCTTTGATGATTTTGGTTATATTTATTAAACAGTTTACATCCATGAAAACATTCTATTCAACTGTTGTTATTGTTATAAACAGCCTTCTGGTGCTTTAGAGATCATTAACTGTTTAATAATTGTAAACAAAGACGCCAAAGATTGAGAAAAGATGTACAGGTTTGTAAGTGTTTGCGTAAGTGTTTGCGTAACTGCTTCGTGAATGTGGCCCCAGGTTTGTATTAAATACAGTACAGTATTCAGAATACTTTTCTCATTCACAATTTAGTGGTTTGGTATTACATTAAATTTGAAAGTAAAAATGCAGCAAGGCTTAGTCCCTTTGACTGAACTAAATAATTCAAAAGGAATAACTTCAGTTTCTGCATGTGAAAATGTGACCAGTATGCCATAGACAGAAGGAAAAGATTGGTATTCTGAAGTATTTATTCAGTTAAAATACACTGAGTGGACTAATGTGAGAACTTTTACATTTTTTCTAGCTGAAAAAACGCCTGCTACAGTTGTGTACGTTCCATCTCATCTTTATCACATGCTTTTCGAACTCTTCAAGAATAGTTTACGAGCCGTTGTTGAGCATTATGGGACAAGTACTGATGAGTTCCCTCCTCTAGATGTGCTTCTAGTCATGGGTCATGAGGATCTTACTATTAAGGTATGTATTGATTTTGTAAAAATATTAATGTTGTCTTGTGTGTTTAGTAATACATGCACAGTACTGTATATTATTGCATTATACTAGTCTTAATTTTTTTTTTTTTGTGGGGGGGGGGGCAGTCAAATCTTTTGTGTACTGTTTATTACGCAGAAAGCTTGGACTAATGCTAAATATACAGGTATTGTTTTAAAAAATAATTTAGTTTTTGTAACTGATAAATGAAGTATTTTAAACTTGTAATATGAATAGCTTAATAAATAGTGGATATGATCAATTTATATAAAAAAATAGTAATTGAATGCCATTGACACAATAATTACTTGGGAGGAGTGTGAATTTTATAAGTACATACATAGGCAGACACAATTCTTGATCTGTGTAGAATGCATTCCTGGAAAACATTATGGTAATGTTATCTTTATATGTGGAAATATGGATACATTCTATAGATCTCCAAAAGTTCCCCCCATCCCATTCCTAATCCTTATCCTGTAAGGATAAGGATTAGGAATGGTTCCAAATTAGGTTCCAAGTGCTATAAAGTCTTAATAGCTTGGCACTTTCTCCTGAGAGTTCTCTTCCTTATCCTCCTCTTTTCTATAAAATTTGTACCTAAACACATACATTAAATACTTCCATTACTTTCTAACCACAAATACAGTGTATAATGTAGTTGAGTGCTTATAAGGTGCTATGTTGCCAGAATGTAATTAAAAATGCTTTACAATTCATGCATTTTAATAATACATAATTAATTAATTTTTAATAATTAATTTGTTTCCAGTTTCCACCTTTACCTTCTAGTTCTATTTTCTGTCATCTGGATCAACCTGTAAAGTTATAATGAAGATACTTATGTGGTAAGAGTAAGTATCATTAAATGTAATGTAAGACTTGGTAAAGTTCAGTTGAATGTTACTTTTCAGTTAAGTGACCAGGGTGGTGGCATTCCCCGAAGCCAGATGGACTTGCTCTTCAACTACATGTACTCCACTGCACCACAGCCAGCTGCTTCTGGGCTGGATACACCTCCCTTGGCTGGTTATGGCTATGGTCTTCCACTCTCAAGATTATACGCTCGCTACTTCCATGGGGACCTGATGCTAACATCCTGTGAAGGTTATGGAACTGATGCCATAATCTTCTTGAAGGTAAATACAAATTTGAGAACATTGTGAACATAGTACTTACTGTATATGCAAAATGTAGAGAGAATGTGAAGTTGCATGCTATTTTTTGGCAAAAGCTGCATTAGTTTATTTGAAATGTACTTTTAACAAATCCTTACTTTTAGCATATATATCTCCATATTCATAATCCTCTTTCATTTTTTAGGGCTTTTAGACAGGTTAAGAAGAGATTCTCAGTCTTTCACCTGTCTTAAATTAGTAACCCTTTCATAAAACTCAAGTTTATCAGGCATAACTTCACCCTTCTAAAATCTTATTGGCCCCCCCCCCCCCCCTCCATCTCTTCCTGCTTTTTTTTTCCAATGTTTAGTAAGGAATATTAGTACAGTATTTTGTAAATTGTAACCATGACTCGTCTGGAACATTTCCTTGAGGGTTTATATGTTTTTTATATGTTTGTGTTTTCTGGAATGCACACTGGAAAGTATGAACAGACTGCAGGAGTGAGCAAAACAAAAAATTCTACTAGTTAAATTACCACAATTTTAGTAATGAGCTTTGGCAAAAGGGAAGAGAGGCCAGAAAAGCAATAAATTTTAAAAGGGAAGTGGTTAATCTTCACTATGCAAAGCTGTTTTTGTCCATGAATTTAAAGTGCTATTTTCTAATTTGCTTATGCCTTCAAAGTACTGTATATAAAATGCTATTATTACCTTTAAACTTTGCTTTGACCTTTGCCTTAGACAGCCTAGGGAAGATATCTTTACAAAATGCCACGGCTGTAGATAAGGAGTTGGCTGCCTTCAAGTACCTTTAAAGATATCACCTCTTAAGTTATCTGCAGCATAGATCAAAGCAAAATTTGAAGGTACAGTAATGTCATTTCTGTACTTTGGCGGGATAATTAATTAGAAAATACCACTCGTTACCCAGGGACAAAAAAAATAATTAATAATGTTGCATACAGGAGAGAGAGAAATCTTGAGTGGATGTAACATTTGAGGCATGTAGTAATAACACCTGGTAAATAACAAGACAGGTACCTGGAGCATACCTGGAGAGGGTTCTGGGAGTTCTTCTACTCCCCAAGGCCAGGCTTGATTTGTGATAACTTGGTCCAACAAGCACAAGAGACCAGAGAAATGAGCTATAAAGATGGGCCATGTGAAAAAAAAAAACTTATGACATTGAAAGAGGAAAAGGTGAAGCAATATGATCATAACATACAGGATTCTGAAGGAAATAGGCAAAGTGGATATAGACAACTTTTTTTCTAGGTGAAGGACAACAGAATGAGGGGGAGTAAGTGAACGTTAGGGAATAAGATGAGCCAGAGAAATATAAGAAATTACTGGTATGCAATGTGAGCTCGAACCAGAGGGTAGAAGCAATCTCCGTTCATAGTTTCAAGGGAAAATGTGTGTGCAGGAAGATCAGAAGGTATAAATACATCGGATACATTTAACTTTGAAATGGGATGATAGATCTGGATCGATCTATCTTGTAAAACACAACTAGGAAAGTCACCAGACACTAGCACCAAAACATCCACACTTATTCACTTACTTCCTCTGTCCATTATTTGTATTGAGGCTGCAGTTGAAACACTTTAGATTCTAGAGGGTTCATGACAATGTCTTGGTAGGGTGTTGAGTTCCAGTGTGCTTGTGTTAACCTCACACCTCTCTTATAGCAAATAATATATGTCTGAAATACACAATATTTTATAATTTTGTTTCATTTAAGTTTTTAATGTGTGTTTAATGCATTTAGTAGTTGGATACAAATTTTAAGTTTGCTTCTGATTTCAAAGTATTTTTCTTTGCAGGCCCTCTCAAGTGAAGCCAATGAACTTCTTCCAGTGTACAACAAGACTTGTCAGAGGCAATATTCAACACCTGTCCAGACACATGATTGGTCTTCACAGTCTCATTCAGCAATGTTCATTCGGCCATTTTGCACTAATTCCCGAAATAAACATAATCAGGGAAAGAGTAGTTCTTTGCAAAGATAGAAATTGCAATACTAAATGACACACCTTGTATCAGAGGGAAGAAGGAATCTGTTTTATGAAGTTGTGCAAAGTTTAAGTCCTATACTGTGTATCACTTGTTAAAGTGATATACATTAACATGCATTAACTTGGCACAATGCAAGTGTTAACATGTCAAACACTTGCACACTTTCTCCTTTGGTGTGTGTGTTTGTAAACAATGCAATATACTTTACAAACAATAGGTTTGATGATACAGATCTACTATTTCATACCCATCATATTTCAAATATATTTAAATACTAGCTTTAATGATATGCATAACTCTCCATAGAAATTTCACCTTACCTAAGGGATTGTCTTCCAAGTTCAGAGAAAAATATGGTGCAGAAAAGATTATTACATATTTGATACATGCAGGGTATTAGTGTTTTCAGTTAAATGCATAAATTCTTGTCATGCTTTAGGTGCATCAGAAAATTTGGTCTAAATCAAATATGTAAATTGTATTGTGCTGCATTAGTCTTATTTCACTGCCCTATTAAAATGCAAGCAGATGTTTGATCGTTAAACGAATTGGACGTAGTAGTAATGCTTTAAGCGTTTAGTGCTGTGTGATACCGTAACTGTGAAGTGCAGTCTACAAAGAAGTCTGCCCCATGTTTTGAATATTGAACCGTTTGGTAGATTTTTTTTTTTTTTTTTTAGTATATTGAATATACAATTTAAAATTTTAATATTCAGAATTATGTCATTTGTGATAACTGAATGTGCAGACTTCTTGACAAGTTGCTATTTTTTGCATTGGTAATTGTGCATCGTGCAGATTATCACTACTAGCAAGTAGTATGGATTGTAATGTAGTCTGTATCATTGCTCTGGATAGTCATATAATTAAGTATTGTAATTATAGGTTCTGTTTCATTGATGGACACTTGATTATTTTTTTATTTTTATTGTGTGAGTAACTTATTCTGCAGTATTATGTGCAGTACTGCCATGATATGTTGCCTAACATGTGATACCTGTCCTTAAATAGTCAGCTATAAACATTATATTTTGCTCTGTGAAAAATGTTGCTAAAGTGTGCATTCCATTTAGTCATTGCATTTATTGCATGAGGTTATCATTTTATAATTAAAGTTTTGGATATTTCTGATGTACTGTACTTACGGCCACTGCATGAATATAATATTACTGTAATTCATTCCTCAAATTATCTGATAAAACTTTTGCATCACTGTAAATGATGTTGAGAAGTCATTTAAATTCTATTACAGATTCAGCTTTGATTTAAATAGTGACCTGGTGAAGTAAATGCATTCTCCAGAAATGGCTTGCACATTCTGCATGTAAAAAAATGGAAATTGTGTTTAAATTGGGAAATGTGCATGTTTTCTCATTGTCTTCTCAAATCCAGATTTGTAGTCGTGGACGTTTTATATGTCACCTTATAGCTTTCTGCTATAGTGTGACGTGTGAATAATGTTTTTATAAAATACAATATATGTATGCTATATTTAGGATCTAAAGTTAAATGTAATGCAGGTGTTATTTAGCCTGGTTATAATTTTTGAACGTTCCTCGAGTAATTTTGTGTATAGAAGAAATTTATTTTTTATTGAAGCTATAGTTTGGATCATGTTTATGTATGTAATTTGTAACCATGTTATGCACGTCTTTGCCAACCTAAGAACTGTGCTGCAAGCACCACTCTACTCATGTTAACGCGTGAATACAGGGTACAGAGTTGCAAAATACTGCGTGTGTGTGTATACAAAATGCAGGGTGTCAAGGCAGGTTGTTTACTATTTATATATTTGCAAATTTATTGCAATAACACTCCACTAAAGCCTTAAAATGCGACATGTTTAGAATATAAAATATTAAATGAGCCATGCTGTCTTTGTTTATTTTTCCACCTTGCTCAAAAAACAACTAAATGTACAGTACAGTTCTGCAGAGCTCTGATAATTTAAGAATGTGCTGTGTAGTATCAATTTCTATAGTTTTTATTTGAATCATTGTAATATTAAAAACAAAAATCTACCTCTGAATTTTGATTTAAGCATTTCAAAATTAAACTGAAAGTGATGATATTTTATAGATTCAATATGACACATGCAGTATTGTAACAAAGTTTCATATGGTTTGTCTAAATATGATAGTGTATTATTTTAAATGTGTAGACAAAAAAAGGTGCAACACTTGTGATGTATTCAGCCAAATTAGATCACATAATTATGAGGCAGCAGGCCTCAATTATGTTGTTTACATTAATATAAAAGCATAATTACTTAAAGTGGAAATGAGCACATTATATATATAAATTAGAGAATGAGAAAGATGTGAAAATATTTGTAAATATTTTGATGCATCATTTAGAAGTCGTTTTATTTATTATTAAACAGTCCTCTAACTGCCTCTTGATGTCTGTTTTTAGACTTGACAGAATTTAAAGTAAACTAAGGTTCTCCAATGGATTACCGATCATACGTGGTAATATATACCATAATCATTGATAAAGAAATTTCAAAGATATTAAAAATCCAAACTGTTTGATCCCTTTAACTAGTAACCAGAAAGCCATGGTGCTTAAGACCCAACCCTTTCCAGAATGTTATAAATGTGCATGGTGAAGGATGAAGATTTTGCATGATGAAGATATGAAGAAACAGTTTCATATTTTGGTGCTGTAATACTTGAACTGTGTTCATCACTTTATATGTTCTTACTAATCTGTATTCTCATAAGAATATTTGATGATGCTAAATGGAATCTAACACCTGTACTTTTTTTGTATTTCAGTGCTCAATTATATTTAAGAATACCATTTTCATATTGACTGCACAATATGTGGCCTAGTATGAAATAAAGAAAGCAAGCAAGCCTATAAGAAAGATCTTGGTCACATCTAGAATTGGGAATGTAATTTGCTAATTGTATTTTATGTTAAGGTAATTTTATTTAAAATACTGAATTTTGCATTTAACGCAAAGATGCAAAATCCATTACAGTTGTTTCCTATACGTATTGTGAAGCTTGAAAATAGTGTCTGCTAGGGGATAAGAAACGAAAGAAAGTTGCATATTCTTAGTTTTACGGAACTCTGTTGATAAAGTTAATATTTGGCAACTACTGACTGGAAACAAGACTAAATTTTTTGTATATATGGTCCAGGTATAAGAGAATCTCTTGTATGGTGGAAAACATTTATTTATATTCCAAGTATACAAATTAACATACAGGGGGATCCCCGACTTACAAACCTCCAGTCTTACAAATGGCCTGGAAATACCCATTTTAACCTTGTCATATACAAACCAGTTCTGTAATTTACAAACACTTACAATGCCATATTTTGGTTATTGTGGAAATGTACCTTAATAATGTCTGATAAGATAAAAAGCATTGGTTGTTCACCAGTGCCGTTTTTCATTACCACCTTTTATTGCCTATTTCTACAGTAATTGTGGGATACCTGATTTGGAGCTATGATGCATCCCGTTTGTAAGTTAGGGATTGCCTACACTGTACTTGCTTATTCGTAAGGGTATTAATTAAATATAAGAGTACAAAATTATGATGTTTGAAATGCACTTGGTGTATAGATTTTGTGTAAAAATAGTAACAGTAAAAAACTTGGACTGCATGATAATAGGAGATAAGGCTGTTAGCAGACTGTAATATGCTGTCGGATGACTGCTATATCCATCGGTGTTAAAAATCACTGCCTTGATATCCAGATAAAATATTTACCTCTGGGTTATTTAAAGCGCAAGTGTTATCTCTTCAAATTTAAACAGCTGAATTTTAGTGAAAACATAATACAGGATTAAAATGTTTTAGTTGAAGAAAAAAGTAAAGCCCCTTTATATGTTGAACAATAATTTATTTGTACAAAACTTACCGTGCATGCTATATCAGTTCACCCAAGATAAATTGTTAACAGTACAGTATAATTACTGAAAAAGTAGGACCTGTACCTGTGTATCGTACAGTAACATTTGTTCACGTAAATGTATGTCTACTACAGTGTGGAAGGGCGAGCACATGAAACCATTTGTATACACAAAAGTTGACCCATATTAATGTATGGATATACTGTACTGTATAAGATTGTAATGTTGGACATGTGTGTAAATCCATTGTAGACATTTACCAGTGTAAAAGTACACTTTTTATAAATTGCCAAGAACCATACTACAATACTTTTAAAGCAGTAGTGTCTCCATACAGTGGATTTTGGATCCATTGAGAAAGTTGTTAAAAGCGGTCATTTACATCTTTAGCACTTAAATAACCACACCATTTTACCTTAATCATTGCATATGGTCATCAGCTATGCAATATGCTATACTTAGCCATTTTATAAAAGATGAAATCGAAGCTTTTACAATGCTCTTTCTTCAATTGAGATTTCAAAATCTTTGCGTATGAGCTATCTGGGTGAAATTTAACATGTAAGTACTTTAATTAATATTTCATGTATATTTGTAGCTCAGATTTTCTATATACAGTACTCCTGAAAGAGGTTATTTTTTTGTATTTTTGTATTCCAAGAATATAAATCGGGTTTGCTTTGGATTTCTAAAAAAAAAATTATGGAAAGAGGCATGTTATTTTTAACTTTTGCAGAAATTATGTAAATGTATGTAAAACATATTAAATACCACACATAAAACTCCTGTTGCAAATACATACTCAATGATCCAGTAGTTCTTTCTTTAGCCTTTTCATTCTCACTTCGATTGAACAAATTTAAATGAAGGCTGTTAATAGAAATGAAGGTAAGTACACTTATATCCAATGGAAATGATCAGATAGATCCAAAGGGCAGTCAAGAGTGGCATGTGAAGCTACTCTTCATGCCAAGGTAAGAAAATAATACTGGCTTTATGGCCTCTCCATGGCCACCTGTGTTTTGGCTGTGCATAGTCCCATATAACCCATACATTTGTCTTTATCTTTGGGAGGTTAATTATGGCATGGCTTGGCTTGACTAGGAACATGCGGTAATGAGGGCTAGGCACCTGTATTGGCCACTGGTGTGATATCAGATTCGGTAATAGTGAATGTACGCACTGTAGCGTGGTTTATGGCGTCTGGTGTGGGAGTTAGAACTAGAATGGCAACGTTGATTGATTGATTGATGAAGATTAAGCTACCCAAAAGATGGTACGGTCATGAATAATGGCGTTGTCTCCTACAGTCTTCCAAAGTATCTGAGTCCACCTGACTTTGTGTTGGACCCAGATTGCTATTCAAATGGCAGGTCGGGGAGGATTGACTGGGTGCCAATCCTTAACTGTAGCCTTTGTTCACCTAGCAGTGAATGGGTACCTGGTTGTTAAACGTAAATTTGATGGGTCTTATTCTGAGGGAAAAATTAGGAATAAGGACCTGCCGGAAATGCTATGCGTACTAGTGGCGGCACAAGAATGTAAGAACTCTCGTATATATAAATAATTAAACAACTCTGTTGTTTTAAGTGATTTGTGGAAGCTTTTTTTTATTATTAATATGAGGTACATCTGCATTTGTGCAGCTACCCTAGACTATATGAAGTGTGTCAAAATTGTGACTGAAGTGTGTGTCAAAAAGCTAGCTACATGATGCTAAAAAATCCCCATCACACAGGATGGTTAGTCATACGTGATAAGCAGCCTGCACTGGCAGACTGGATGCATTATGTGGATATCATCACAGTGAATAAGGTAGCAGTGATACTAAACTTTCCCATCTGGCAGGATTGTTAGTCATACAGGGCCATATGTTCAGTAGCCTGCACTGGCAAATTTTGGGTGCAATATGAAGATATCTTCAAGAACACGATTGTTTTGCAATTACTTTATTCATTCTCTTGTGGAAACCTTGGGGGGGGAGGGATGTGTCATCAATGTTTAATAAATGTGATTGAAGACATCATTAGCGATTATGCAATTATTGGGAAATTTTTAAATAGTTATAATAGAATTTCTTGGAATGTGGAATAGCTGGGAAATAATTTATAATAGCTAGGAATAATAGGGGGCAGCAGTCAAAAAAAGCTAACCAAACAGTTAATCAAACGTACCTTTGACTTCAAAGGAAAGAAGGTATAGTGATTCAATTGTATAAATCTCTGGTACGACCCCATTTGGATTACTGTATCCAATCATTTAGACCTCATCTTGAGAAGTATATAGCTGATCTGGAGAAAATACCGGGCAACACAAATTATTTCCCAGCTGTCAACTGAGGTATACCAGTGGGGGCGGGTCCATAGAATTACCCCAATCATCCCAAATCAGGCCAAAACTACCCAAAACGTATTAGCATTACGTAAGTAATGAAGAAATATGGTATATTTACTTACTATAATGTTGGTGCTACACGTAGAACATGATCAAACCTATTTTTTCTCTGAAATAATCTAATTTCATAACGAAATGAGACGTAAATATGTGAGAGGTGACGCCATAGGAAGTCGACGGTCCAAGCGACAATTGTGTGGAGCGACTTATCCAAGATATATGGTCGCCTGGAGAGTGTTTGCTGCCATAACAGCCTCCTGTACACAGTGATCCAGTCGTCGTATTTCATGGCTCAAATTGTCGCAAATTTAATTGGTAATATTAACAAGTAGAATGTGTATTTATAATAATATTTTTCATAAACAGCCACAAAATATTTAATATTTATTAAAAAAAAGTGTCTGGAAGTTAAATCAATTCCACATGACAATAAATTTGTTATATAGATACTAGCGTTATTCGTTGGTATGCGTTCGCTATTTAAACTACTCCAGTCCTTTTCGTTCATAGAACACCGAACCCTACACGCTCTCTGATATATTGCTTAATTAACAAATATTCACAAATAAAGATTATATTTATATATGTTATCAGAAAGGCAGATATAAAATAGTTTGTGTTAATGCATCACAGAGATTATACCTTATTAGAGAGGAAAAATATTCATATTTTAAACAAGGCTTCTTGGCCGACGCTCTCCCTTTCGATGGTAACTATGACCTTTTGAAAATCAATGTTAATTGAATCTATATATTATAAAAAACGAAGTTTTTTATGTCATCAGAAAGACATATAAGCTGCATGTTAATACTTTGGTATAAATATAACTGAAGTGAAAGTGAAGATATATGCCTTTTTATAGTTACTTGATGGCTCGCTCAGGGAGTGTGAAGGCCTGCACACAAGCCAATCAACATGT